ACTGTGTCCGTAAAGTATGGAACAAATTCTTTTTTAGCCAAACAGTTGTAATTCTTAAATATTTGCTGGTTTCGTTTGATACACAATATTCTTCAGATGGCACCACATAAAATAATCCAAAGGATTGAAATCTGGTGACATCGCTGGCCATTCAACAGGTCCACGTCTACCTTCTACCTTCTAACATCTACCTACAGCATAATGTGGAGGTGCACAATTCTGTTGTAACCATAAACTTTGATAAATATGATAAACTATGATAAATATCCAGAAAGACCTATAACGCGTTCAACAGTAAGATTGAACAGAAATTTCGAGAAACTGGTACGGTTGAAAATGCACGGAAATTAGTTCGTCCCTCTGCAAATGCTGATACAGCATTAGATGTTTTACTTAGTTTTAAAGAAGATGCGCACACTTCTGTGCGTAAAGTTAGTCGCGATATCGGTGTTAGTAAAACAACGCTACACAAACTATTAAAAGTTGAAAAATAGCATCCTCATAAAATCAAACTTGTGCAGGAATTAAACAAAGATGATCCAGATAAAAAAGAATGCAATTTTGCGAAGCAATGATGGATAACTACCACCGAGACCCTCTCTTGGTACAAAACATTGTTTTCTCTGATGATGCCACTTTCACGTTAAATGGCGAGGTTAACCGTCAGAATTGTAGATACTGGGCAAAAGAAAACCCCCACTGGATGAGTGAGCATTATACACAATACTCGCAAAAGGTAAATGTATGGGCTGCAATTGTAAGAAATCGAATCATCGGACCCTACTTTATTGAAGGTAATTTAAACGGAGCAACGTACCTTGAGTTTGTAAGGGTGTATCTCGTACCTATTTTCGTAGTTTGTTTACCAGCATCCTGGACGTTTTAATGAAAGTTAATGGTTGCAATAGGATGGTGCACCTCCACATTATGCTGTAGATGTTAGAAGGTACCTAGATGAATTTTTTCCGAACAGGTGGATTGGTAGACGTGGACCTATTGAATGGCCAGCGAGGTCACCAGATTTCAGTCCTTTGGATTATTTTATATGGGACCATCTAAATAATGTTGTGTATCAAATGACACCAGCAAATATTCAAGAATTACAACAGAGAATTCGGACAGCAATAAACAATATTTCTCAAGACAATAAACAAGGTTCAACAAGAATTTGTACAACGTTTGGGTTACTGTAAAATACAGCAAGGGTTGCAGTTCGAACATTTATAAAGTCATGTATTTCATCATATTCTGTCCGCTAGACAATAAGTATTTTTGATAATATTGTGAATTTAACTAGCTCGTTACTTTATTAACACACACAAAACTATTGTATTTTTGTCCACCCTGTACCAATTTGAATCAACATGTGATACATTTTTGGAATCAGCTCAGCTAGTGTAATCTGAAAATAGAGACAAAATGGGGGTGTTCCATTTTAAAAAAAAATGACGGTGACGATTAAAAAATGTATGTTAAATATTGTAAACTAATTTTACAAAAATACTGTAGTTTTAAAATTATCAACATTTAAAATAACTCGAAAACGCATTAACATATAGAAAGTAAATTACAATTTTTACATGTTCAACAAAGACTTTAAAAAATTTATAATGTCCTTCAACCCTTAGAACCCAAGTTAGCCTTTTTCACTTCTCGATTTCACTATTTCAAAATTTAAATTCATAAATTGAAATTTATAAAAGTTGCATTATCTCTCCTTCTAATTAACAAAAATTTATGTTTTTTTTTAATTTGAAGTACCCCAGAGCACAGATGATAATACTGACAGGCGCAAAAGATACGATACAGCAGGAAGAATGCATGTCATGCTGATCGTATAGTCTTTATTTTAGTGACATTATAACCTCGGAAACCTTTTTTGGATGGTGCTAGAAAGTGCACCAATGGAGACACTACGGACGGCAGCCAGATGGTTGGTGGAGAGCGAGTCGTGGGTTCGAAACTAGTTTTTCGAAATATTCTACTAAAACAGAGTGAAGAAAGCTCTCGTTACTGTTTATGGGCTTATCTCGAGATAACGGATACAGTAAATAAAAAAATTAGTAACAAATAACACAAAGTTAATTAAAGTTAAATTCAAAGAATATAAAAAGATTACTCTTCTTCTTAACGTGCCCTATCAAATCCCCTTGACGTTGGCGATTAACATGGCGAAACTGTCTCTGTCTCGAGCTATTCTAAATAGTTGCTCAGCTTTCTTTATTCCTGTCCACTCTCTGATATTTTTCAACCAAGAGGCCTGCTTTCTACCAATTCCTCTGCGTCCTTCGATTTTACCCATCATAATAAGTTGAAGAATATTATATCGGTCTCCCCTTACTACGTGTCCAAAATAGGCCATATTTCTACATTTGATATTATCAAGCAGCTCGCGAGCAGCATTTGCTCTCTCAAATACTGCCACATTTGTCAGCATAGCCGTCCATGGAATTTTTAGTATACGTCTGTGCAGCCACATTTCAAAGGCCTCCAGACGATTAATGGTGGATATTTTTAATGTTCATGCTTCGACACGCTTTCGAAGTTGAAGTTGCAAGTTATCATTACAGAAGAATGACCTCATTTTTAAAAATGTCGTGCGGGCTATCTCGATTCTACATGTTATCATTCTTTGAATTATATGACCATCAACATACAATCGTGTATCTTGATGTGCTAAACGGCTAAACACCATGTGTTTTGTTTTTGCACAGTTTATGTTTAGGCCAAACTCTCTTTCCACTGTATCAATGGCATTTAAAAGGCATTGTAATACATTTATGTCATTACTTAAAATAACTGTATCGTCTGCATATCTGATTGTATTTATCAGAATTCCATTAACTTTCACGCCCAATTCCAAATTATGCAGCGCTTCTTTAAATATTCTATCTGAATATAAATTAAATAACTAATAATTAGGTACTTTATGACCATATTTAATCTAACAGGGAATTAAATTAAGAAACTCCACTATATGTGTATACACACTTAAAGAAAAAATTCGCAGAGACTAATATTAGCAAGCGTCTTTCCTCAAAGACGACCCTGTCAGAAGTCCTTACATAAAGACAGCGAGAAGTGGTATTCCTTCTCTAAAAATTTACTGAACTACCCAAAAAAAAGGTAGTGAAAATGACAGGCCCTCCTTTGTTATTTAAAACTTTCGAGGGGGTGCTTATAATTCAAAGGGGTTGCTGAAGGGGTATATTATTTTCATACTGTAAATTGTCAATTTAGGAATAAAAATCGACCTGTTGGATGTTTTTTTTACATAGTACATAATAACGCTAAAAATGAATTTATTTCATACATATGGACCGCAAATCCGATAATATTAGGCTTAGTCAAATTTTTTGGGAATATTTAAAAAAGACTAAAAGAAAAATTTAGGATAGAAGGTGTAATGTGAATGTATAAATCTAGCTTTGTTCCCTCTGTCTATTCTTGTGTTATATATTTACCTCCCAGCCGTTGCCTGGCTTGTGTGGTAATAAAGTCGCTATGAAAGGCACCTTAGCGTGAAAAGTATCCCTATATTATGTAATTCCTTGTTGGTTCCAAATATTCACTTTAAGTTGGTTAGGGCCTTGAATGGAACGAATAAAAGTATGGTTTCTTGTCAATCTAGTGATTCTTGTGATACTAACGTTTACATCATATTTTTAATTTAGCTCTATGCGAAGTACCTAAGCCTAAGGCCTAAAAATTAACTTCAACAAAACAAAAGTAATGGCAAACACGGAAGACCAAGAGGCAATAAAAATACAAATAGAAAAAATAGAACAGGTAAATGATTATATCTATCAAGGACAAGCAATCAGAGCTAACAGAGAAAATAAAACAGTCGAAATATCGAGACGAGTAAGAATGGAATGGGTAGCGTTCGGCAAACTTTCTTACGTTCTAAAAAATCAAACAATCCCTCTATACTTACGAAGCAAGGTATATAACTCCTGTATAATACCGGTGCTCACCTACGGAGCACAGACATGGACATTTACACAGGCCAATTTGGATAGAATAAGGAAGGCACAAAGAGCGAGAGAGACAAATGTTGGATGTATCACTTAAAGATAGAAAACGTAACCAGTGGATCAGAACCAGAACAAAGACAGTAGACGCGATAGAAGAAGCAGCAAAACTGAAATGGAAATGGGCTGGACACAATGAACGTCTCCAAGACGGACGATGGAACAATGCCATCGGAAAGTGGCGTCCATACAATGCAAAGAGATCAAGAAGCAGACCACAGATGAGGTGGAAAGATGACATCAGGAAAAAATGAGGTCCCACATGGCAGAGAACAGCTCAAGATAGGGAAAGATGGAGAGAACTGGGGGAGACCTATATGCAACAATGAAAGGATAGAGAATAGGTTCAAAAAAAAATGCGAAGTACTCTTTTGTTAACAAATGCAATAGGTCAATACATCATTAACAAATTCAAGCAGTCAAATACATTATCGTAGCTGAATGGATCAAGTTATCCAAAGCCATTAATTAAATAAAATAAATAAATAAATAAATTTATACAAGTCAATTTCCTTTGCACAGTTACTTTGTTGGATATTTTATATTACAGATAATGTATTAGACATATTACAGGTTATGATTGTTGAACAAATTTATCAAAGACAGTTGTTAGATACCTATATCAACAAGTATCATGAGAAAATGGTTAGTTTCCTGACCTTAAAAAAATAAGTACTGTTTTACAAATATAAAGAAAATCTCCAATTGTATCAGTAAAAGCCTCAAAGAAAAAATGACGGAGAACTAAAAACATTTATCTACACTAAACTCTAATTTCACCAATTAAATATTAGATTATTTTGTATAATTTTCGTAAATCACTTACGTACAATTCTATCCTAAAAGTGAATCTTTTTTTGCACTAGAAACTAAATAATATTTCTGATATCCAGATATTTGTCTATAAGGCAGACTACAAACTAAAAGCAAACAAGTGCGCTATATATAGCACGAGATTATTTTTACCTTTCACCGAATCGTAAGGTCAAAAACAGAAGCTTATTGCACAGGTTCAGTGTCAGCTGAAAAGATTCTCCTGCTGAGCAAACAGCTAAAATTATACTTGCAGCGACGGATATAAATATTAATAAATACCCTTTCCTACGCATGCTTTTAAATATATTGTGAATAGAGTGCATTAGGATTAACATGATATTGATGACTCGAAATATTTTTCCAATTTTCAAAAAAAGTATATATAAATAGAATATAAAACAATTTATGTGTTTAATATCTATCATAAAATTATAATATCCATACAATTACATCCATCAATCATGACAATCATAAACTTAAGGACAATTATCGTTATGAAAAAAAAAACAAATAATATTTAATACGGAAAATAAATATTGATGATATTAAGAAAGAAATGAATGTGTTTACTTTATATAATAATTTTTTTATAAATAATTATGTTTATTTACAATCTGCGCGTGAAGAAGAGACAGCCAATTTTGGGGAGGTTATTGGCCTTAAAAACACCGCGCTGGCCAGACGTGTTGGTGAGTGTGTATTCAGCCGTCCATTCTGGATCAGACGCTGTTCGTAGCCGTCCACTCTGGATCAGACGCTACAGTTTGTGATCTTATACTATCCCTAAAATCAAGGGTTGCCAGCTCCGCCATCTTCGCCGTATCGAAATTATTCTTCGTCGCCTTGGATGCCGTTCTGGACTTCATCCGTAACCCTGGACAAGGGACCCTTAGCAGGTGCTAGCTTCCCGGGTCAAGAAGCTTCTGGAATCTGCGGAGGTAGGGATTGATTCACTTTCCCTGATAGGACTATCCAATATAATCCAAGGGACTCCAAAGGAGTTCCTACCCGCTACCCGTAAATGGAATGGGCCGCATTTGGAAAACTCTCGTACATACTGAAAGACAAAAAGATACCCCAAAACCTTCGAACCAAAGTGTTCGATTCTTGTATCCTTCCTGTTCTCACTTACGGAGCTCAAACCTGGACATTCACAAAAAGGACATGAACAAGATTCGAAAAACTCAGCAAGCCGTGGAACGTCAGATGCTTGGTATCTCACTAATAGATCGGCAAACGAAGGAAGCAATCCGGAACAGAACAAAAATAAAGGACGCCGCGAAACAAGCAGCTAAATTGAAATGGAAATGGGCTGGACACAACGAACGTCTCGAAGATGGTAGATAAAACAAAGAAGTCGGAAACTGGCGACCGTACGATGCGAAGAGACCAAGAGGAAGACCTCAAATGCGCTGGACGACGATATCAAAAGAGTCGCAGGACCAATGTGGAAACGCCTAGCACGCAACAGGGATGCATGGCGAGAAATGGGAGAGGCCTTTATTCGACAATTCGAATAGAAAAGGGGCTATAAAAAAAAGACCCAAAAGAATTGCATGTCTCTAGAAGAACAGCAACTGCGACCGATCTTCCAGATCAGTTACCACTACGATATCAAAAACCGAAAGGAGTCACATGTAGAAGGAAAAGGATCACTTAATAATTCTTTTAGAATGAATTTCCAGCGAGTTTTATGAGTTCTATAGAAATTTAGTTGTTACCAAAAAAAATGTTGATGATAGCGGTGATAAATAAATGTTTTTTTTTTCTCATTTTTTGTGTTTTTGTTTGAGTTTACGCAAGCATTTACTATTTTGTACACTGTTTTACCTGCTGGTACATGCCGAGGCAAAAGACCTTAAGTCCCATTATTATCGAATATACATATAAACAAATTTTTTATCACAGTAGGACAATAATAATTAACTAATATAAAACGTTACAATTATATAAATACATAATTTCATATGTCTTCAGGTTAAGAATGATTGCAATCATTTTCTGGAACTCATCTTATTTTCCCATTATCTCAAAACATCACTAGGTGAATATACTACCCTTTACCTCTTCTTCTTCTTCCTTTGCCCTATCCGTTTCAGACGTTGGCTATTAACAAGGCTATTTTGACTTTGTTTACGGCACCTCTAAACAGTTCGGCCAATATTAGTCCGAACCATTGTCGCAGGTTATGCATCCATGAGTGTCGTCTTCTTCTTGGTCCCCTCCTACTGTCGATTCTTCTTTGGACTATTAACTGTAGCAGCCGGTACTTAGTATGCCTCATGACATCTCCGAAGTACTCAAGCTTCCGTTTCTTTACGGTGAAGATTATTTCTTTGCTTTTGCCTATTCTCTGCATTACTTCCACGTTAGTGATGTGGTCTTTTCAGGATATTCGAAGAATACGGCGATATATTCACAGATCAAAGGATTCTAGTTTCTTCAGGGTGGCTTCCGTTGTGGTCCATGCCTCTGCTCCGTAGAACAAGACCGGGAAGACATAACACTTGACCAGTCTTAATTTTAGTTCCATTGAGATTTTGCTTATGAACCACTTTTTCATATTGTTGAACGCGTTTCGCGCTTTTATAATTCGTGATCTTATTTCTATTGACTGGTCCCATTTTGTGTTGACCTTTACCTCTATGGTACAGATATGTTTATTTATTTTAAAATTTCCAGGATCAATATTCGTAAGGTCCATAAAAGAGTTCGTTGATGTAAATTTATTATGAACTAAAAATATAAAATCAAACGGACAATATTGATGTCATATTAAAAAACGTCGACGTCAACCCTAATATAGCATTTACCAAAGTAACTAGAATATGCGAGTAGTATCGTGTTCCTATTTCCATCCCTCAGTAAAATTAGACTCAATGAGCTAAACGGAGAAGTTACTGAGCTAGAAATAATTACTGTTTATAAACCGAACAAAAACGCAGGGGTAGTTGAGTTAATCCTTAAACACAACATAAACAAATCTCTCACTTGGTGGAGTTATGATGTACAAGGGGCTAAGCAGGGTTGAAATATAGGGAGAGATTTTAAATTGTAACGAAGATGAATTCACCAATGGCAATCTCCAGTTAAAATATACAGTGCTTTTCAGATAAAACTATCCACCTTAAATAATTTTTGAACCTCTAATTTTTTTGAAAAAAGCAAAAACACGTCAATTAATATCTGAAAGGGGAGACATAATATCATATTAAAGGTTGCTGGAAAATGCACCCTCTCACCCCTTGTATCAGCCCTTTTTTTTTAAATGACTTCCCCCTTTTTTTGTTTTATATTTGGATTCTCCTTTTTGTTCTGATTTCAAAAATGTATAATACCTCTGGCTTGAAGTGATTAGTTTATCAGATAGACAATTTTCCTGTTAACAAGACAGTATCTCCCTCACCTTAATTGACTCTAACAAAATAGGTTGTGGCATAATTTAAACTCTTTAAATATTTAACCGTACTATTTGTAGTACCTTTAAAAACCAAGAAACAAAAAAATTCACTTTTTATTCAAGTTTTACCAAAGGTTTTCGATATCATTTTTACATTTGTTTTAATCGGTTAATAGCGACAATTTGTTATAACTTGTAAGTAACAGCTTGTTTAGATACGTGTGCAATTTGATCGCTGAAATGATGTACACTTTGCAAGAAAGAATCGAAATTGTAGGTTTATACTACAAAAATAATAATTGTGCAAGAGCTGCTGCTACAATTTTTAATGAAACACACTACAATAGACATGCAACTCATAAGTGTGTGATTAAACTGATTCAGAAAAATTAGAGCAAGAGGGTCAGTTTGTAATAAAAAACATAACCGACAGGAACTTGTAAATAAAAAAGCAATCCAAGTAGCTGTTTTAGGGCAAGTTAACTTAGACTCTTAACAATCACAATCACTGTCAACAATAAGCAGAGCAATCGGTGTTTCATCTTCTACAGCCTTCCGAGTCCTCCATAAATTTAAGTTTTATCCATATAAAATTAAATTAGTACAAGAGTTAAATGAAGAAGATTTTGATCGTCGTCCCAAATGTTGCGAATTAATGATAAAATGCATCATTAACAATCCACAATTGTTAAACAATATTTGCTTCTCGGATGAATGCTAATTCTCATTAAACGGTTTGGTGAACAGTTATAATTGCCGATACTGGTCTGAGAGTGATCCACATATTGTACGCGAATTTCACACACAGCATCCTCAAAGGCTAAACGTATGGTGTGGTATCCTACGTAATCACATTATCGGACCCTTCTTTATCACTGGAAACTTAAATGGTGCATCGTATCTTGAATTATATAGGCAAGTGGTTGATCGTTAGAACAATAGTAGCAAATGATGATAACCTTTCCGATGATTTGGTTGTATTTCAACATGATGGAGCTTCTCCACACTTTGCTTTACCTGTGCGATAATTTTTAAACGAAATGTTTCCCGGTCCTTGGATAGGTAAAAGACGACAGATGATACATTGGCCACCTAGGTCACCGGATTGGACACCCCTAGACTTCTTCTTATGGGAGTATTTAAAAACAAAAATTATGGTACTCAACCAGAATATCTAGATGATTTACAACAAAGAATAGAGGATGAATGTCGACAATTAAATGCAGACCTGTCAAGCAATGTCAGAGAAGAATTTCAAAATACATTGTACTATTGTATGAAAGTGAAAGGCAGTCATTTTGAACAATTATTGTAAAAATTTTTAGTAGTGAAATGTTTCTTCTAAATGTGTGTAATAAAATTGTTAAAAAATAATTTTTTTTTCAATCCAATTTTCTTGCTTTTGTATTTACTTTTCTCATAAACTAATCACTTCAAGTATCATGTATTATACATTTCTGAAATCAGTACAAAAAGGAGAATCCAAATATAAAATAAACAAAGGGGCAAGTAATTTAAAAAAAATTAAGGGTTGATACAGGGGGTGAGAGGGTGCATTTTCCTGAAACCTTAAATATGATATTATGCCTCCCCCTTCAGATATTAATTAAAGTGTTTTTGCGTTTTTCCAAAAAATTAGAGGTTCAAAAGTTATTTAAGGTGGATAGTTTTATCTAAAAGCACTGTATATTATAATATATAAATGTATATTCTTTTTTTTTTTATTGAGTTAATGCCTCGACAACTATGATCATTGGCATGGTACAGTCAGGTACCCAGTGTAGTGCGTGTGTATGTGTAG